TTTTCCTTTCAACCACTAAACCAATTCACCGATTTTCACGAAATTCAGTATGGATACTAGACCACTGGAGGTCACTCCAACGTCCTACATTGTAATTTCCCATAATCAATAATAACATGGCTGACGCGCCAATTTTAAAACTGGGAGGGGCATTACCTCTGCTTAATACATAATATCAAAATAACGTATACTAATGACCTTCGAAAGACATGCTACATTTTAAATGATTTTCTCTGTAGAGTGTAAAACAGCGCTGTCGTCGCAATTAATTTTCATTTGTCCATTGGAGCTAGGAAGTAACATTTTGTATGAAGATACATTATAAATATATTTACAAATAATGCGTTTATTTGCTGTGGTTTATTTAACTGCGATATTAGTAACTCAGAATACATACAGCGTCTGTGTAAATACTGTGTACAAGTCAACATAGTGACGAGATAATCGCAAAACAAATTTAATATATACACAATTTGTTCTCAAATAATGAATTTTTCTACGAAAAAGAAGCATCAACAACAAGGCTAGTGTGTGAAACACTTACAGCTTTAAATTTATAAGATATTTCAGATTTGAGAACGATTAGGTCATGTGACGAGCCCAGCAGGCAAATGCAAGTTATTGTTTGATTATGAATTCTCATTAATAAATATGATACTAGGAGCACAAGATTTTAATAAATGGAAGTCTGTGCTAGTTCTACCGGAAATCGGTGACGAGAATTCAGGGTTGGTACTTGGTCCTCTTTATATTTTCAATACAATGTAATCCCATTAGGTTCATACCTGTCTTTGAAGGCAACACAAACAATTCTTCCTTCTGTATACAAGAATTCAAAATAGAACAATAATATTCTGGTTAAGGCCCTGATTCTACTTATTCTCCTTCTTCCTTCGATAAAGAAAGACCTAAAATAAACTATTTGTTTTACGGAACATCAATCAATTTAAGGTGACTTTCCAAAACCCCTGAAGATATCTAACACATCAATGACTCCATTTTACTGCTCTATCCGCGCTCGTGTGAGTTCTGGCCAATTTTTCCCTGTTGAATGGCTACCACGTTAACCATCTCTACTTTTGAAGCGGTGCAACGACACGACAGTTGATGTTAGCTGGAGGGACTAGGAGTCCGGCCCAAGGGACATGCGTAACCTAATTCTGGAAACAGCTAATACAGTCGTACTTTGCTTAACTGGCTCTTTGTAAACACAACAGACAAACTAAAAGCGCCTTCGTCGTGAACTGTGCTGGATGAGACTTAACTGCCTGTTCTTGAAATTCTCTACGCGAACTAGATAAAATATGTAATTTGTTAGTGATTTAAATTGATACAGAATTTATGTTAATAAGCTCTTCGCGTAACAGAGATTAAACACTCTCGAACGATTGCACCACTGTTTATTTATTGTGTAAGCGTAATAAATTACTAATGTGCTGTTTGAGAGTAAGAGATTTTGGTAAAAAAATTTGTCTACGTCATTTCCTCGTGCCCGTAATTTAAGAACGCTTATGTAACGAACACTCAGATGCCACCTCGTTCGCTCTGTTGCTATAAACCATGATCTGTAGAGTTTGCGTTGGTTATGCAATCACTGCATCAAGTGCGGCGTAAAAGTCGTTCTCAGAATTTAATCGATCAAATAATGACGGCGTAACAATTACATCTGGTGCGGACTTTCTGAGTATACTGCTTCTAAATTTTATTTGCGTATTCTATAGACGTGAAGTCAAAAACAATTCTGGCAGCAAGCGAACAGAATGGGAAGCCATTAATCAACCAAAATCTTTATAATCGGATAGCTGTTCGAATAAAACTGTGTTTAAAAGACACACCCAGTTCTCGAAACGCAAATAGCCCAATGTAATGCGCCGGAACAGATGTGTGTACTATTTCCGGGGGCGTTGAATGAAGTAACAAGAAAATATATTTTCACATAAGGCAACGGTCGGATGTCAATACGAGTGAAGTATTTATTTCCGTCATAGTTTAAATAATTTGTCATTTATATTTAAAACTGTATTTTAGTGGCGACCCGACTGAAGAAGTATAATATTCCAAGGCACAAATCTTTTCACACACAAACGTCGAAATTCCAGAGGACTTTCAGACAGGAACAGACATTAATCCCCTAAACTGTGGAGACAAGAATAACAATGCGTATGCCTTCACCAGAGCATCACTCAGCTGTTGCGTAGCTCGGATAGCGTCAGATTGAGGCATAAGGTCACAATGCCGGTCCAGCCCCGTTTAATTCCTACGGGAGCGCCTTCCTAATGCATAGCAAAGATGCATCTGTTTTGGTGATGGACACATTCCCGCGTCAGGGTTTGAACGTACACTTACAGTCGCCATTAGAGGCACACGATCCGGTGCAACCTTTGCACTAAATTAATCTCACCTTAAGAAAACGGACAGTAACTGACATGTGTAGACATGCATGCGTTACTCACAAGATTCAAAATATTGGAAAGGAGCCTACCTTGCATTCGGTTCCGATCTAGAACGAAGCATAAGTTAGTATGAAGTTTTTGTATTTTTTCTCAGTCAGTGTGGGACTTTGTAGAGAGAGTAACTTTAAGTTGGCCACGACAGCTGCCTCAGTTGAGATGCAACTGACATGAAAATCGCTAAGTGTTTTACGATCATATGTGATTAATCAATAAATTATTATGAATATTTACAAAAATTAGCGGGAAACTATAAACCTTTCCGAGGGCATGAAAATGCCCATGAAAATATGTTTGGCGATCCCTGCCGTAGATATTTCGCAACACAAAACTGTTGCATACTGATAGGACAGATAGTTAAGTACGA